TTCGAATATTTGGTTTTCAAGAAGCTCTTAGTGTGTCTTGTCTTCTCGGATTCCAGCTTTTTACTTTTCTTTTAATATGCTTTGTCCTTCTCCCTGAGCAGAGATGTACGCTTTATACAGGTAGTGGGGATTTTCGCTCGTCGTTCCTCTCTTGTTAGTGTACTTGCGATACAGTACTCGTGCAACAGCGCTTAGAGATGAAATATAACAAAGGTATATCTTTTTTATCAGAGGGGCAAAGACGACTGACTTTGGAAGCAGAACACGGCAAATGAATGGCATTCTTGTGAATAGAATAGGCATGAAGCAGACTCGTAACATACGGCTAAAAACAAGAAGTTTCACTAAGGTATCCTTCCCTTTTATATCTTTTTACCATTGGGGACAATGTGCTCTTAAGGTTTGGGGGTGATACTTTAACATAATTTTCATCTAACGGTTTAATTAATTTTGTGTGTGTTTAATTTATTGGCCTTATTGTGACTTGTGTGGAAAAAAAAAATCGCATGCTAGTGTGGGTTGGATAGTTTTGTTGGCAATGATGCAGATATTAAAAAAAAACAAACATGGCTTGGTTGTAAATTATGAATGAGTTATGTGCTTGAGTGGAAGTCTTACTTACCTTTGCAGAAAATTGTAAAATAAATGCATGTGAATTGAATATGGCATTGGACAAGAATAAGTTTATTCATAAATGATGTAGGCTTAATTAACAACCTTAGAAGCTCAATCCAGATAATCTATAACATTACCATGCCTTTAAATCAAATTTAGGATGTTTGGGTAGTTGAGCTGTTGTAGGGAAATTTGGAAATAAATGTGGATTCCATGTATGATAAAGTTTTGTGGATTGTATGAGACCATTAAGATGAAATTTGGTAAAAACCCTAAGTTGTGCACTAATTATTGCATAAAAGAAAAAAAATTGTTGTGGAACTACTTTAAAAGATCCATATGAGAACAACGTTAACAATCTCATTGTGAAACGTCTGTTCGTAGCCTTCATGACTCAAGTGATTAAGTATGTAATTGTTTAAAACCTGATGCCCTAAAGTCATATGATTTGGGAATCATCGATCTAAAGCTCTCTACATGGGTCATTTAGAAAGTTTAAAAGAGAGATGTCCGCACATAGGATCCATAAAAATATATATTTGAAAAAGCAGGTGCATGAAACAGAAAACATACCTTGATTAAGCCCAAAATACTTATTTTAGAGGATTAAACATTTGATAAGGGGTTAGTAACTTAATTCATTCCTGGAGGTTGAGGCAATCAAAAAGAAGGAGAATCCTTATTTGTTGATATGTGAACTGCAATCAATAATTTGTACCCAGACGAGAGAGGGTGATGAGTGGTGATTTAATATCTAATCTTAGATTATGCCCTCAAGAAAAGAGTGAAAAGAAATTAAGTTTAGGGGTGTGTGAATCTCACGAGCGGAGAAACAAAATAATTGACTCTTATAATCGGGAATTGAATTGACTTATAACTACACAATGCTATATTTGATTCCTTACACACACACACACACATTTCGCATTGGAAATGTAAGAAATTGACTTCTGTACTATAACTTTGAAGTGGTTCATGAATTCGATATTAAATCTTCAATGTTGAGCCATAAAAACAAGCTATCTAGCTAAATATGTATTTGAATCTTTTGGTAGTGTGTTTTATTTGTGTGCTTGTGAGTCTTATTTGTGCATTGTTTTATGTTTGCTCGAGGACAAGCAAAGAATTAAGTTTAGGGGTGTTTGATGAGTGTAAGTCACTCATTAAATTAATACCTTTAAAACATAATTTTCAACTTGTTCTTGAGCACTTATGAGCGTTTTGATGTGTTTGTGTATGTTGTTTTGTAGTTTAAAAACATTGGAGAAAATGAGGTATTTTGGAGCTTGGGATGGATCCACGTATGATCATAAAAGTAGGGGTGAAGAGGAAGTGAAACAAGAATAAAAATAAAGTGGAGAAAAAGAGAAACGGAGGCCAAACAAAAGAAATCAACAGGAAGCTGCCGAGGAAAATCAGCAGAACTGTTGGCGCCGCAGCGCCAAAATCATATTTGACGCGACGCTGTGGCGTTACTTCCTGACTGTTTAGAAATGGTTTTTTTTTATAACTTGTTCGGGCCCACCCAACTCCAATCCATGTTGATGTCTTAAGAGGCTATAAAAACGATTTGGAAGACCTAATTCATGGGAGAAAAATGGCTTAGAAGACAAGGAAAATGAGCAATCATCAAGAGCAAAAAGACAACGAATTGGAGAAGAATTCAAGCGGCAAAACAATTTTTCTTATTCTCTTTTCTTCTCTATGTTCTTTAATTTAGAATTTAATATGTCGTTTTTAGTAGTCATGAACTAATTTCAATATTTAGGGTTTGATGTAACGAAACTTGAAGCATGTTTGTATTCTATTATAGTTAATTCATTTGATTTTTTCGTTAATTTATTTGTGTTAATTTTTGCACATTACTTTCAATTACCTGATCAATAATTGAATGATTTGATACTTTAAATTACAGTACTCGGGAGAGTGAAATTTAGGCGTGGTCTAAAAATGACATAACCTAGGAAATTATAGGTTTTGAGAGAAAGTATAATTCTTTTGAGGTTTATTTCATTTACGAATCATGCACATATAATTTCTTTAGCGTTAGATATTTGAATTAAAATATAGAAATAGGTTCTATTTTGCACTCGAGAGATGGAATGTAATTTAACCTAAGATTCTTGCCTTTGAATTCAGGAAAAATGGATAGAAGTAACAATAGAAGTTGAAAAATATTGTTGATAGTGAGATGAAATCAATCTTTAGGCTTTCTTGATACTCTTCCTATAATTTGTTTTCATTTCATTCGAATTGTTACACATTCATATTATTTTAGGATAAAAACATTTACTTGATATTTGATTTTTCTAGATAAAGTAAAAATTGAAATAATTATAGTACTTGATAAAAATTAAATTACAATCCCTAATATTATATTACAAACTCGACACCGTATACTTACGACATAAAATACGTTATGGAAAACATGTGACACTGCTGATGTGGAAAGTTTGATTTGGATTGATTGCTGCAATAATTTGAGATCATTTTGGAGTCTTACTCATATGATGGTGACCCGATATTATTGAACTTTGTGCAGTGTGGAAACTTGTATCAAAAAAATCTATTTGTACAACCTCTCACATGGAGGTGGCCCCATGATTAAGAGGTTGTAAAAATTACAACATCTTAATCATTGTACGTGTAGTGGGGTTGAACTTGTATACTATGTCGTCTGTCTCACAATTGCTACACTTAGGGCTTGTTTGATGCACCAAATTTTTCATGAAAAATGGAAATCAAATTCCAACTTTAATGTTTAGTCATGTTTGATATGGACAATTTTCTAGACAAATGTTTTTTCCCTCTACCCTGCGCCTCATTTGTTTGGTTTTTTGTTGAATTCTATTTCCCACTATTTTTGTGTGAAAATGGAATTCCAGCTCTTTTTTTTTTTTCAATTGGAACAAATTTCATAACTAATTGTAAAAAAAAAAAAAATTCACTTTAATGAACAATTTTCATGTAAAACGAAGTCAAACGAACACTAAACTTTG